AAACACTTTTCTCCGTCCAAACCAATGTAATTTTATGACCACAATTAATAACTTTAGTGAATTTGGCAAAAGGTTGTATAATATGTTACCTGCTCACATTAAATGTCTTGAAAAACGACAATTTAAATTTACTATTAGAAAGATTTTGTGTGATTTATGTGTGTATAAGGTCAAAGAATTTGTAGAACATATTAAGTAGGTTTATGCATATACTGTGATGTAATTGTATGACGTTGCTATACATGTATTTTAGTGTTGATGGCAATAAATGGATTTGATTTGATTTGATTTGGTTCACTGGTTTACTTATCTAGTTTAAAATTCAATGGGAAAACAGAAGAGTCAACTCTTGGAGAGCTCACTCCACAAAAGGCCCTAAATACCATACATAGCATCATATTACCAATAAAAATCGTTCCTTTGGTACTACAGTCATGTAATCTTATCAATACATAATCTTTTTAAAAACATGATTTACATTTACAAAATCCACATGTCAGTCAAAATTTAGTTCGACGAGAACTTATTTATTGGCGAATAGCAAAGCATATACATGAATATGTTTTACAACCTGGGTATCAAAGGGCATGTAAAGATAGGTCCTTTGACATCTCCCCCGGTAGCGGAACCAAATACAAGTGGGCCAATCTTTGTCAGGACAGGCTCGATCTTGCCAATTTCCTGCGACGGCCTTCTGGCCATCTCGTACTTCCTTCCCTCGTCCTTACGACCGATCGATACTCAATGGTGTATGACGACCATAATTGGGGAAAATTCTGAGTATGTAAAATTCAGATCGTCAAGGTTTCATGTGTCCTTAGTCAACGTCAATTTTATCAGGTATACATAATATAAATAAACGTATTCTAGGGTTAACATTGCAATCCATCAGTTAAACAAATTTTGACGTTTTATTAATTTTCGATTAAAGTAATTTTTTATGTACTTTATGGATAAATAAGTTATTTAACAACTTTAAAATTACCACGAACAACTAGCACATAAACATTTGTAAATTCGTACTACCTTGTGGTGCAGGAAAAAGTCAACCAAGTACTAATGTAGGTAAAGAACATATAAAATATATTCCTTACATCAGTTTTTGGTTAGAACATAAGCAATATAGTAAATTGTTTATCAGTAAATAAGCAATATGTTTAGACTATATTCGTTATTTTCACGTATACAACCATTGGAGCGGTGTATGCCGTAACTACATAGGACTCCTAGCGGTGGACGCCAGAACATTTTATGCTAACCGCAGCACTGCTGTCGGCCTATAGTTAATATTTTTTTTCTATAATACAACTCTTTTATCTGCGTTCGACCCACATTCCATCAGATTATTAACAGTACCTAGATCACTTTATAAACACTGTAAAGAAATACCTACATTGATTTATTTAAAATTTTAATGTGGCCTTTCAAAATTTCTTTTTGGGAAAGTCAATTTAACGTAGCCTACCCATAACTTTAATCTAAAGTTTGTGTAGGAATTATATGTTTTGTATAAACAACTCATGTTTCATAGAACATTTTATTTTTATAACATTTAATCCAAAATTGTGTGAAACGCCGCGCTCGTTGGGTGGTCGTACAGTACAGTTAGTAAATTGTGTGTAATAATATAGAGGTTACCCGCATCATTCTACCTATTTCTGTCTCTGGAGGAGGAGGTGACAATGGTTATTTGGGCGAGAACATCCGGTTACTATATTTAATAACAGTTCAATAATTAAATGTAAATTGGACGACTTCCTAATTAAAACTTAGGAAGAAACATATATCGCAGAGTGTAATATGCAAATCGTATAAGGATTTTAAATTTAAAACGAATACACTTAGCTTACTAACTTTAATATAAATATTATATACATATTTAATATAAATATTTATATAAAAGACCCCTTGTTTAATTCTATTTGAAAGTTTAGATAAACCGTTGATCTTGTCGCATCTCACGTGTTATTATGACTTTATTATCAATATTATATAAATATTTAATATAAACATTTATATAAAAGATCCCTTGTTTAATTATATTTGAAAGTTTAGATAAACCGTTGATATGTCGCACCTCACGTGTTATTATGACTTTAATATAAATATTTAATATAAACATTTATATAAAAGATCCCTTGTTTAATTATATTTGAAAGTTTAGATAAACCGTTGATATGTCGCATCTCACGTGTTATTATGGCTGAATCTAATACGTTTTATTTTATAATCCAAAACACAAGCAATAAAATAACTTAATAGGTTGAATTTAATGAGTAGTGGGTAAATTCATATGTTAAAAGAAATTGTCGATACCGGTAGTAATCAGAATTTCGTACCTTCACTTTTTATTTCTTAAATTTTTTTAAATTCTTAAATTGTTCTATGATATTTTAAAGACGGGTGATATGATACACTTTACTTGTATTCTTAATCATCAATAGTCTATTTAATTATTTTGTAATGCTTTAGCGTTCACACTACGGTGTTTTAATGTAAAAATTTAAGCATTAGAAGAAGTATGAATGAAATTAAAATAATCAAAAACTATTGGTGGTTTCCAATACTATACCACCCCCAATACTCGTCGCTGTGACGACACACCCCAAATCACGTTCGTCTGTCTGTCTGTCCGTGGTGATCACAGATTTCAATATTTATACCGCATGCAGTTGCCAGTTTATTTACAGTTTTTCCAACCCGCCAGCGTGAAAAGTCCTCGTTTATTCAGTTTTACTTCGTTAGTGGTTTTTCATCTCTCGGTCCACCGGTAATGCCAGATGAGGGGATTATTTTCACACGATCTGTGTTTTTTGCTGTTTTCATTTTTGTTTAACTCGATTCAACGTTTAGTATTTGGAGGTAGTGTTTTGATTTCACATTTCAATATGATTGACTTTTCATCAGAAACATGCCATATTCGAGAAGACAATATTTTGAGAAGTACGATACCAAAACAAACGGTTATACATCGATGTCATAAGCACATACTAAACACATACAGTATTGACACAAGCATATTGCATTTTATGACTTTCAATTCAATACTATGTAGTCCTTATAAAGAGTTCTTATAAAAATCGACGGTTTTTGATAGTTCGCATTGCACGTACCCTGCTGTTCTTAATCATTGTCATTCACAACAGACTATCCAACACAAGAGAGTAGCTTTCACTACAATGTCCAAAGGAACAGCTGATTCAACCAAGAATTATATCAAGATCATCTTGGTCGGTTACAAAGTTACACAGGTCATCTCAGTCTATTTGACACTCGCCCTACAATCATCTTCAGTTCAAAACGCGCAGAGAAGTTCGTATTTTCCCCTAGAATGTGATCAATTTTTTAATATAAACCACAGAGAAGTAATATAAATTTATATTTCTTCTCTGTGTATAAACGTTGTACAGTACTCTACTTTACATGGGGCTAATTTACTGGCCAACCGATTTAAAATTAAGGTTTATAATATCCAAATAATTGGCCATCAATCTTCCCCAGTAAAATAGGCCACAGTTCTACATCAACTACGTTCTACGTCAACTAAAAGCAAATCAAAGTCCCGATACAAGATAAAGGATGAGAAGCGCCTGGACGTCGCCGCGGCTTATCTGGGGATCAGAACTTCACGTGACGGCCTTTGAAGCAACGCCGCCGACAAATTGGGCCGATCCTAGACTGGGGCTGGGTGGCCGACCAAAACAACAATTATTGTGTCAAGACGATCCGGGGGGACAAATAAACAGTCATCTTGAAACTGTCACTCGGCACAACGACTGAATGGGACCGGACAAAATAAGATATTGTGTGTGGAGAACACGATTGTGGGCGGACTAGAGTATTGTGTGCGGATATTGTGAGTAGTTCGAGGAGACGGCTGTGGAGCCATATTGTGTTCCTACACTTGTGATAAATAATAGATTGGAATAGAGTTTGCCAACACTGATACACCAGTGTGTTTTTGTAAGGCGAAGAAGAGTTTTGAATGCTGGAGTTGATATCTTTGTCACTGACCAAGATCATTTGCTTCTTTAGAGCAAGCCATTTACTAAATAGTGATAAAAGGCATATGGTTCATGGAAACTATCAAACAAGCTTCAGACTTTTCTCTGGACCGACTAAGCAAGCTCTACGCCCACTCATCTACCCTGCTATTAGCACATCGAATGTGAGCTATTTAATTTGTTCAGGGCTGAGATTAAAACGTATGAGTCATCTTGTTCATTAGCCTCTGCTGTCAATACATGTAAAGCGTCGCCATATAAAGCTTCCAGCCTTCACAGGTTTACGAGATCAGGTGGGTTTCCAAAACTGGTGTGATCCACCTAATAAGGGAACGCTTAGGGAACTTCTCTTCTCAACAGATTTAGACCAAGGAAGTGTGTTTTAAGTAAAGTACGAATGCGCCATGTATTTTGAATAACAATGTTGAACTTAGCATTGATAAACCCACCTTATTTTCAATAAGAGCAAACGTCTACAAAAGGTTATTGGCTCTCCTTGAAGTTATCAAGTACACGGTGAATGAAGTACACGGAAATTTAGCATCAACGCTTAAAATGTTCATGGATGACATCCATACTCTAGACTAAATGAATAAAACAATTGAAAGACCATTAAGTTGGGTTATCATGGTAATATATGGGTGACGATTATCGGTTCTACTGCAGTTCGACCTGAATTCAGCAGCAATGTGACGGCTTAGCAGAGTTGGGGTGCTCGCCTTAATCTTAAGATCGCTGGTTCGAGTCCAAGGAAAGTTACATTGAGATATATTGTTAGTGGGCTATCAGCTAATGATGCTATTGTTATCTAAGAAAACGGGTGATGTTAAAACCATAAGTAAGTGTTAAAAGAAAGGTTTTACCGTTCTTGAAAAACTAGTAAAAAAAACAATCACGTTGGTAAAAAAAAACACTAAAAATGGTCTAGCTTTACTTAATCAATGATTGTAATGAAATTTACCGATCAACTACACAGCTTATTTATGTTCGACTCACCCTTGTGCGGCATCTTCCAGAAGGCGTCGACGGCGGAGGCGGCGTCTCTGGAGGCGGCAAGACTTGCCACCCCCGCCACTACGTTACTGAGCAACGTCCTAGAGCCGGGTCTACCGTCCCCCGCTGTAAAACATACAAAAACTTCTATACAAACGGCTAGAAGGTTAAGAATCCTTGGTGTACCACAGGAGTTGGTCTACAACAGCAAGCAAGGTGTATGCTAGAGGTTAGAAGTTTGAGAAGTCTTACAAGGAATACACTAGGGGTTTGGTGTAGGTATAACTGCAAGCAGTATTCAAAAGGCTAAAAGGCTGAACAATCTTGTAATGCGTAGGTCAAGGGTCTGCAATTTGTATACAAACCGCTTGAAAGTTAAAACATTTTATAAGGGACACCTCAGGGGTTTGTTATAGTTGCAAGCAATTTATATACAAAGAGCTAAAGGGCTTAAACATCTTACAAGTTATAAAACAGGGGCCTGTAGTAGGTGAAGGAATATTATATACATCAAACTAAATATGTTAACACATTAACGGAGTACCACAAGGGTAGGTTATAGGTATAAGCTTTTACTTTAGTATGCTAAAGATAAAAGCTTGAGAAGACTTGTAAGGTGCACCTCAAGGGTTTGTTGTAGTCACAAACAATTAATTTGCAAACAAAAAAGTTAGAAATTTGCCATATCTTATAAAGTGTTTCATAAGATTTTGTTATAGACACAGACAAGTTGTGTACAAAGGGCTAGAAGGTTGAACAATAATTTACGCTGTGCCAAATAGGTCTTTTAGGCGGAAAAGTCCTCATACTAAATGATAGATGTTCGAGATATTTTTCCCAAACAATCGTGTGCACAACAAATACAACAACCGTGTTAATAGGTCAAAGATTGATACATAATAAGATGTGTCCCCCAAGGGGACCTGTAGACGACATTTGCAAGCAGAGGTTCAGGTCGATACATCGTATAAGTTGTACCAGGGGCGTCCAATATTATGGCAAAGCGAGTTGAATTCACACAAGTAATTCGTTTGTTCCAGAGACTAAATAATAAAAATCGTTATTTAAGTATTACTATTCTCCGCTCCATGATTGGACCGCAATGGAATTATTGGATGACTTGTAATAATTTAGAATTCATGCTATATGGAGGTGAGAAGAACTACAACCTTAGACTTATCGGAAAACTGACGAATTCCGTCAAATCAATTTCGGATTCTAACCGAATACACAAATCGTAATTTGTTAGTTATATGGAATAATATGTACCACATTTTATGATATAGATTTGAAATATTTTGTAGTAGAAAAAACTACTTCTAATTTTATAACTCATTGACTTTTGAAAGTCAATTAAAATCTCATTTGCCTCTATTTATTTTGTTTATTAGAAGCCAAACAACGCTCGCATTTTATAACTTAACCTCTTAATTTATTCCAGTAATTAGCGTGCAGGTCTTTGTTTGCCAATTTATTTATAATTACAGTATTGCGTTATTTATGTTCCGCCCGGGTGTAATGCTAAACAAACACTGTTTCATAGTTTTGCCGCATCGGAAAAACGTCCAATTTGCAATCCAAACTAACGTCACTATTTAAATAATTGTTCACTCAAATTGTTAAACGAACTCGCAAATTGAATTGGTGGCTCCGTCAGCCGTGGGTAATGAATTAATTTCGGTCGGGAATCGCCTATTTTAAATCAGTAAAATAAACATCGAGTCCGACCAAACAAAGCATTTCCATTAAAATAGTCCATAGAGGACAAAGGTATACGAATGTCAACTTTAAACGCTAAAGAGAAATAAAAATGCAAATCAAGTTTTCGTTTATCGGAGCTGAAAAATCCCGGTTTTGCATTTAAATAATATAACAAAACTCGTATGTATTCAGGACTTATAAAACTGTTAAATTGTATATTCTGTCAACTGATTTATTAAGAGACTTTTATTGTTATTAAGACTACGTTAGTTTAATTAATCACAAATTACCTAAATAGAAATTTTATTAATTCCCTAAATGACCTACAAAATTCCTAAGACTCCAAATATTTAGGTGTTTCCATCCTTGAGCGAATGAGTCTAAGTGCATGATGGTAAAAATGATTTTTGTATATATTAGAACTTATCTGCACCAGAGAACTGTAACACGTTTTTGGGAAAAGTCCCAAGGGGTTAAATGTTTGGTGATATGCAGGATCGAACCCGCAACTCTTGCAACGCTTTCAACACACCCAGCTGATTGCTACTGTATTTACTAACAATCCATTTGACAGACCAAGTAAACGCGAGTTGGGTCAAATTTGGTTGACGAACTACAATATCTTCATAGGAACTTCATGATGTTGATAATCCTTTTTACAAAATTGTGTAACGAAAATGAATAAACTATACGGTGCTGTACAAGATGGATTCAGACACACATATTTAGCAAATTTATGTACTGCAGCTATATGGCTTTTCTGTTGAATTTACCATTTCCAAAGCACTCCAAAACAGTGCAACAGTAGAACACAGACCGGCCCAGAGCTACTCAAAAGTTAATATTAACCCTCAAACATGAGAGCCATTTTACGCCAACATTCGAATAAAACCATTTAAAGTTGATCCCTAGAGGCGGTAACATTCGGCGCGATTGTGACAGCCGATTTGGCGCCAACTCGCCGCAGGGCTACCAACCTACGTGGCTGCAGTATAAACGCATATACATGTAACAGTGGCCGGGGACTGGCTGCGAGCGCACTAATTGAATTTGGCTGAAAAATAAACGCATTCCGTTTTTAAGCTTTATTAGCCGATAAACTAACAGCCAGGATTATAAAAACAAGATGCCACTAATGGAAATAATGTTTGGAAAACGCATTATTGGAATATTGATCTCGTTTTTTCCACCGCAGATTTGACTGAAATGAGTTTTCCTCTGGTGGAATTTATATAATTTGTTCACCAAAATAATAACAAAAGTCACGTTATAGTTATCTAGTTAAGTAAGTGAACAGACAGTACATCCATCGTGTAGTGCACAACATATTATACATAACAAATACAGTACAACGCCTCTGTAAGCCATCATCGATGTATACATAATACTCCCTGGCAAACCGGACCAGGTTTAACTATTATGTGTTAACGATTTACCAAACAACAACAACATAACAACAAAAAATTAGTGTAATAGATTGATTCCACGTCGCCTTTGAAGTGAATAAGGAAAACATCTTTATTGCTCATCTTTATTCCTCAACATATATACAGTCAATGCTACAGAAAACAAATATAAATATTGTAATTGAAAGTCTAAATCCTAAATACAATATTTTCTTAAATGAATGTCGAAATAACTAACAAAATTATTTTCAACTGTATAGTGCTTACAAAAACATCAAAATTGTATCGATTGAAACATAGAACAATAAAGTCCTTTTAATCTTGCTGTACAATCGGAAGAAGGGTTACAAATGCTGATATAAGTATTAACACCAACAAAGTTCTTCTTTTATAGTAGATTTATTCTTCGAAACTCAAGCTGATAGTTACATTGTTTTGCGAGACATGGGTGTTCATGTGTCACTTCAAATACCTCGCGTTCGACGGACTATTTTCTCCACTTTCTCCGCGGCTCAACTTTGATCCAGTTAGACATTCCTGGGATAAAACAGTCAGTCGCTCTCTAGCCACGGTATACATAGTATAGTTCATCTCTATGTAAATCCAGAACGAAACCACCCAACGCCACTTCAAGATACATAATTCTCCTTAAGTGCTTTGTCGGGGGCGGTTAGCGCTGCGCCCAAAATATATTTAACGCTACACCATAAATCCACACAAAGTAAACAACGGCGCTCTTAATTTGTTTCTCGATATAAATTACTGCGCAGTTTGGCGCATAAATAACCGGCTAGCAGCAGAAACAGCCTTTACCACGACAAACTCCCGTAGTTAAGACGCCTTTATTGCGCCACTCTTTATAATACTGCAGTAAAATGTACGGTCAACTGTTGTAGGGCGGATGTTATAGGCCGTTAGGAAACTTAAAACCGACTAAGACTCTAATTGTATTGTCTTTTATAGTTACAGCTAATTCGAGGGTTTTCTAAAATTTCCTTGTAAATGCTAATTTATGTATTACAGGTTATCTATAACGATCGTAGAAATAAGATACACAAACGTTTTATATGTGTAAACGCTGTATATGACATGTAATTATATTTCCTATTACAACTTCTTCATATAATAAGGTTTACAAGTGGAAGTTATCTCAGATGATAAGGGCTGCCTCCCATCTATTTTGCCACATCGTAATTGATTATAATTCGGGTTAAAACAAAAATATTTATCTAATTTACGACTAACCATGATTTATCTACTGTTTGGACAAGACAACGTGCTAACTACATTTCCAGGCACTATCAAATTTCCCCAATCACTAGTTGAAACGTAAACAAGCAACGGATTGACAATTGGCAAAAACAACAGCCATAAAACAATAAAAACGCAAACGTAAAAACGGGACGCGGTAATATACATCGGCGACGAAATTAGGTTTGGATTTGATTCAAGCAAAAGGCAAATAATGTTGACTGGGAGTTATTACTTGATTATCACCGGCGCTCGTACGCGCAACGACCAGCAGCAGCGCATGGTGCAATTACTACTGAGTTATTGCATTAAATATGAGCGTTGCGCGCGCTGATATTTGCAATTATGCAGGGCAGCGGCCCTTAAGCCCCGTGCAGCCAATTTCGAGTGATTGGGCTGGGATCATTAATTAAATAGCTTCAGTCTCGACTACATGCATAATCATCCGCAATGCATGACTCTGCGGCGATGCGCAGCGTAGAAAACAGTGCCAAATAACTTATCTGTACACTATTTGCATTACAGAAACAGGGAGATTTATAAGTCCCATATTATACTGATTGTGATGATTTCAAGTTGTAATGTTTCCAAAAACATTGATAAATGGACATGAATGATAGTTTCGATGTTGAATAACTGGATATTTTTACCATCTAGAAATTAAACAAAACATTAAAATTAACACTGAATAAATCAAATAAAATCAAATCAAATCAAAATCTGCTTTATTTCAAAAAAATTTACGATATATACATATACAAAATACGA